AATAGGTCAGCTCTGTGTCATATAATAAATGACTTTCCAGGTATTTAAATTATTATGTAATACCAAAATACTTAATGCAACAGATTAAGAAAAAACTCTGTTCCCCTAAAGATACATGAGTAATACTAGAAAGAAAATGCCAAAATTATTTTATGTGCACTTGGTACCACAATAAGCCCTGTGGTGTGGGGTTATCTGAGCAAATACCCAAGACAGCCAAATAGGTGCTGGTGGCTCATGCCTGAAATCCTCAGGATGCTGAGAACTGAGTATAGATGTTTGAAGGCAGTACAGGCAGGAAATGTTTGTGACACTCTTTATTTCAACTAATCAGCAAAAAGCCGTAAGTGGACTGTGGCTCAAGTGGTAGAGTACCAGCCTTGAGACAGTGCAGTATTCAGGCCTTGAATTCAAGGCCCAGTACCCATACAGGGCGGGAGAGAGGGGGAAACCACTAAAGAATTGGAAGAGTGACAGAGCGAATGAGATTGAGTGTATGGAAATATAACAATGAAATCCTCTCCATATAACTCACACAAACAAATAAAGAACTAAGAATTATGATAGGCATACCTTTAGAGAGAATGACATTAAGCCAGTCACTAAAAAAAATTCAATGCCAGCAGTGGCTCATGCCTGTAATCCTAGCTACTCAGGAGGCTGAGATCTGAGGATCACTGTTGAAAGCCAGCCTGGGCAGAAAAGTCCATGAGACTCTTATCTACAATTAACCATCAGAAACATGAAAGTGGCACAGTGTCTCAAGTGGTAGAATGCTTGTCTTGAGCTGAAGAGCTCAGGAACAGTGCCTAGGCCCAGAGTTCAAGCCCTATGACTGCCAAAAAAAAAAAAAATCGGTGCTAACCATGGTATAGATACTGCTTGGTATATCATGAAGACAAGCTAGAGGGATCTAGGGAAGGAGGTTAGGACAGTGTGGAAGAACAAAGATTATATCTGCTCTATGATGAGACTCAGTGGGTGGAGAATTACAAAGGAAGTAGGGTCCTAAGGGGAGCCAGAGCCATGCTTTCTTTAGAACAAGAAATTTAATTGAAGAGCCAGCTCAGAGAAGAGTTTGCTGAGATAATTATGAGCTCCAGATGGATTTCAGCAAATGTATAAATATGGATTTTTTAAAAGTAAGATTTAAAATGAGTGCCCTGCTTATATAAGCCTTCTGTAAAAGTGGTACATGAATGTAAGTTATCATCATTCCCTCTTTAACTCCTTGATTGTGGAAAAATCACTGTTTTCATTGTCAACACTGATAATATTTATTGTTAGAATTTCAGAGCTGGCAGAAATTTAAAGATGACATAATGCAGACTTTTTGCTTTACAACTGACCAGAGGTGATTTCATGTCAATTTTAACTGGCTAGTTTCTAGGGGAGTAAGGACTCTATGTCTTCTCTTCTCCAAATTTCTTCTATTTTTTATGAACTGCAGAAACAGAAAGCTCCCACTAGATCAGCCCAACAAGCCACTGTGTGTATGCAAATCTGATATTAGAGTCTCCAAGTCTAAAGCTTAGATCTGTTATTAGCCATGACCTTGCCAACTAATCTGTTCTATGCCTGTCTCCTCATCTACAAAATGGAAGATATAATAACGCTCATAGAGGATTAAATAAATTTAAAATACATAACAGTGCCTGGCATATCAAGAGGGACCAGGTAGATAAATGATTATTACTATTTAACACATTGTATGCGCGTTTTAATACAAGTCAGAAATTTAAACCCACAGTTGGTTTTCTTTCTTTTTTTCTCTTTCTTGGTAGTATTAAGGTTTGAGCTCAGGGCTTTGTGTTTGCTAGACAGGTGTTCTATTGCTTGAGTCATATTAGTCTTTTTTGTCAGTTGTGGGGCTTGAACTCAGGACCTGGACACTCTCCCTGAGCTTTTTGTTTTGTTTTTGCTCAAGATTAGCACTCTACTACTTTGAGTCACACTTCTGGTTTTCTGGGTGATTAATTGAAGAGTCTCATTTTCCTGATCAGGCTGGTTTTGAAGCACAATTTCAGCCTCCTGAGTAGCTAGGATTACAAGTGTGAGCCTCCAGAGCCTGGCTCACATCAGCCTTTTTTGCTTTAGATATTTTCTAAGTAGGTTCTTGTATGCCTGGGCCAGCTTGGATCATAATCCTTCCTAGGTAGCTGAGATGATAGATGATGAGATGAGTGGAGATTTTAGTAGGTTTGTGTGGGCCTTATACTTCTATCCTTCCAATCTCTACCTTTCAAATAGTTAGGATTATAGGATGAGCTGACAAAAACAAAAACAAACCAAAGACATAATGTTTATAAATTTAGATATTTCATACAGATACCTAAATCTAACATTCTTAGGGGATTTCTCAAGTAATATAATCTGGCTGGTAGGAAGAAAGCAATTGCCCTCTTTAGCCTTGATCTGGAGTTTAAGAAACAAAAACAAACCAAAGAGATAATGTTTACAAATTTAGATATTTCATACAGATACCTAAATCTAACATTCTTAGGATATTTCTCAAGTAATATAATCTGGCTGGTAGGAAGAAAGCAATTGCCCTCTTTAGCCTATAAAGTTCCATCTTTTAAATTTACCTGCCTGACTAATGCTTGCCTTTGGATTTGTATCCTGGACTAAAACAATCCCCATTCTCAAGGAACTCAACATCCAGTAGGTGAAGTGCATTTGCTAAACAATTCACAATGCCGTGGGATAGAAACAAATAAAAAGTTGTCAAATACAAAGTATAGCAGTAATACAATGGTACAGAAGTCTTCAGAGAAGGTGCTGGTAGTGATATGTGTTGTCAAGAAAATGTCTTTGAAAAAAGAAAAGGAGAATAGACTTGCAGAGAATAGAAAGCGCAAAGACATTGAAGCTGGGGATAGTTTTATGTATTTAGTAATTATAGACATCTCTGTTTTATAGAACATAGAGAGAAGGGAAGGTTGACAATAATGCCGTTGATCTTAATGTTTAAGAAATGTCCTACAATGCATAATACTTTCTCTCCTCTCTCTCTCTCTCTCTCTCTCTCTCTCTCTCTCTCTCTGGCAGTACTGAGGTTTGAACTCAGTCTGGGCACTGTTTCTGAGCTTTGTTGCTCAAAGCTAGCACTCCCTGATTTAAGCCACAGCTCTAATTCTGGCTTTTGGTGATTAAGTAGAAGAGTCTGACTTTCATGCCCTGGCTAGCTTTGAATTATGATCCTCATATATCAGCCTCCTGAGTAGCTAAAGATTTCAGGAGTGAGCCATCAGCACCTGGTTTATGAAATACCTTTTTTTTTGGTCTGTTGTGGGTCTTGAACTCTGGGCTTGGGCACTATCCCTCAGCTCTTCAGCTCAAGGGGAGCACTCTACCACTTGAGCTAGAGTGCCATTTCTGGTTTTCTAGTGGTTTATTGGAGATAAGAGTCTCACAGAGTTTCCTGCTCCAGCTGGCTTTGAACTGTGATCCTCAGATCTCAGCCTCCTGCGTACGTAGGATTCCAAGAGTGAGCCGCTGGTGCCCCGCCCTACTTACGTTTTTGATTTTTTAAAATTGTTATTTGGTGGTGTAAAGAGGGGTTACAGTACCATAAGGAGGGTAATGAGTACATTTCTTTTTGGACAATGTTATTCCTTCCTTCGTTCTCTCCCAGTCTAAAATATAATTTTAAGATTTAGTTGGGCCTGATAGCTCAGACCTGTAAGTAATCCAAGCCTTCTGGAAGTCCTGATAGGAAGATCAAAGTTTGACACCTGCCCTACTGGAGAACTATCTGAAAAATAACTGCAGTGAAAGGGGCTAGGGACATGGATTACATCACATATCCCTGAAGGGAATTTGAGGCCTTAGGTTCAAGCTTCAGTACTGACTGAAAATGAAGTTTATCTGTAATAATGACACTTACCTTAGGGTTTTTTGTTTTTGTTTTTGGTCATGAGGCTTGAACTCAAGGTCTGGGAGCTCTCCCTGAGCTCTTTTGCTTAAGTCTAGTGCCCTACCACTTTGAGCCACAGTGCCACATTTGGCTTTTTCAGAGTAGTTTATTGGAGATGATTCTCATGGACTTTCCTCCCTGAGCTGGCTTTGAAAGGTGATTCTCAGATCTTACCCTCCAGAGTAAGTAGGATTACAGGCCTGACCCTCAGGGTTCTTGAGAATTAAACTCATGTAACCTTTGTAATAAATTTCCCAAGATATTTGATAAAGAGTAAATATAGTCAATTACTATGGGTTATTATGATGCTATTGGGTCTTCATTGTCTATGTAATAACTTGTCTGAGAAAAGCTAACATCTTAAATCAATGTTTTTTTTCAATGGAAACAAATTAAGACTAATAACATGTTTTGGTTGCATTTAAAAAAATAGAATATACACTAAAAACGCGAAGATAAGACTTCTTTCTTATCTAGATTGTTGGTCGAAAAAAGTTTTTAAAGTGCAATTTACTTTCTATAGTGACTGTTCAATATAATAGTGTATTAGAGGTAATAAAGGTAGATACTTTCTACAGTGACTGTTCAATATAATAGTGTATTAGAGGTAATAAAGGTAGAGGAGACTATTCCCTAGTTCTGTAGGCTCCAAGAGTAGGCAAAGACCCTTTCCAGCAGAAGACCTCACCATCTTACAAAAACTTCTTGACTTGTCAGGGAGGTCAGACAATCGCTTGGCGGGAAAAGGATAAATTCAGACCAAAATCTGTTTCTGTTTAGTTTATAAACTGCATTGGAGTGTCTCAGCTTTCATGCCTTGTGGGACTTGAAGTCCAGCAGGAAGATAAGAGCTGGATTGCTGAGCTATGGAAACCCACAGCCAGGGAAGGTCTGAACACTATGGACTGCAACTCCCGATATGCACCAGGAGGACGCGCCGTAATTACAGCCAACCAACCGTACTGGAGTAAAGTAAGCCCCGCCCCCGGCCCGGAGACGGCCTTCGCCAATGGCAGAGCTCCCGTGGCAGAGCCTGCGGGTTAGGCTGTGAGGCCCGGGCCGGGGGCGGGGAGGAGTCGAAGGGGTTCCAAGCGAGCACGGCCGCTTGGGGTGGGTCGGGGCTTTCGGCGCGCCCTTCATTGAAGCGGCGGTGGCCGGGCTGGGCGCCGGAAGTGGGAAGCGACGGCGCGGCTGGAAAATGCCGGTCCATTCCCGAGGGGATAAGAAGGAGACGAATCATCACGATGAGATGGAGGTGGACTACGCCGAGAACGAGGGGAGCAGCTCGGAAGACGAGGACACAGAGAGCTCGTCGGTCTCCGAGGATGGAGACAGCTCAGGTGTGCGACAACGCCCGGCCCGGACCCCCGAATCCCTCCCCCCACTCCTTTTCCGCGGCGCGAGCCAGGCCGCTCGCGGCACGCCGGGCAGCGGCGTCCCGCTGGGAGAGGGGGCGGGGAAAGCGGGAAGGGGCGGGGACTAGCTGGCCGCCCTGACTGACAGCCGGCGTGCACCCGGCGGGGTCTCGGGCGCTGCTGGGTTCCCCGCGGGGTCTCGGGGGGCGGGGCGGGGCGGGATGGGCCTGGGCTAGCAGAGCCGAGGGGACGCATTGGCGTCCGGACCTTGGTGGTGTCCTCCCCCCCACCCCCAGCCCCCAGTTGGCTGGGAGATTGAGGAAATTCCTCCCCGCCCCATCCAGATTTTTCACCTTTGCAATTCTGAATTCTCCCCGTGGGGTGGGTTGTTCCTGCCCAAGTCTTGTCCGGCTGTGTCATCGACACTTCATCGCTGTGCTCTTTCGGGGTTCACTTGGGAATTGTCCACTTTATGAAGTTTCAAGGAGAGAAAAGGACCAAAGAGAGGGATGATTTGGGATTCCCTACTGATTTATAAATGTTTTTTTTGGGGGAGGGGCATGGTTGAAATTCTCTAGAGATTTTCTTCCCTTCAGTTTTCCAACTTCAGGTTGTTTCAGAATTTTTTGTTGTTGTTATTGAGCGGGGAGTCTGAGGAGGCAGGTTAAATTTTGAAACTTTAGGAGTGAGTATTTAAAAAGGAATGGGATTTGTGATTACCAGGATCCTTTTCTATTAATGAAGATGAAACTGAGTCTTACCATCTGGATTTTAGTCGGGTGAAGAGAAGCATGGATTACAGGTTGATGACTGTGGTATCAGCCACACCTTCTTTTCTGTTTCCCCGTCAGAGCAAATCTTTTTGGAAGTATATCATTTCAATCAATAAATCAACATTGCAACCAATAAATCAATAAATCTCCCCAAATAAGTACTTCTGAATGACATCTTTGTGCAGCACCAGATGCTACTCAGTGTGATGTGTAAATAGTTATGATCTAGCCCCAACTAGGGCTGTCATAAGTCACCACTTTATTCAATTGCCCAATGAATGCTTGACAGTAAACAATGCTGTGGGAATTCAAAAGCAGAGGAAATAAATTTTAGAATTGGGTGGTCAGAAGTGTTTGAAGAAGGTGGAATTACTGGACTTATCTTGAAGAGTGAGTAGAATTTAGGTTGGTGTGATATGGTTGAATGTGCCTAGAAGAGAAGGAATGTGAGAGAAAGTGCAAAGGCCAGAACTGAAGGCGTATTCAAGAGTGAGAAAACTAGTTTGGTTGGGAGAAGGGCTTGAGTTCCAAGAGGAAAAGGAAAGTGTGTATGTGAAAGATTTCAAAGAAAGAGGCATACAACGGAATTGATGAATGCAAGTTTAGGAGTGAAGATAAGTTAAACCCAGATACAAGAATGGTGTAGCATTAACTGAAAATAGAAGAGGAAATCTTTGAGATGAAGATAGACAATGAAGTATTTTAAGCACATAGGTTGTATATTTAAGTAACAATGCATTGGAATCTACCTGAGATGGAATCTACCTTAGAATAATCCTGAAATCATCCGCCTTGCCACGGAAGTACATTATATTTCAAAATAGGGGTTATAAGGAAAAACATCTAGACTTTATGAATACATTTCTTACATCTGTAAAACTTCTTTTGAGACAAGGTTTTATTTATTTATTTATTATTTTTATTTTTTGGGTCCGGTTGTGGGGCCTGAACTCTGGGCCTGGGCGCTGTCCCTCAGCTCTTCAGCTCCACCACTTGAGCCACAGCACCACGTCTGGCTTTTTTTTCTTTTTGCTTATGTGGGGCTGAGGAATTGAACCCAGGGCCTCAGGCATGCAAAGCAAGCGCTCTACCACTGAGCCACCTTCCCAGCCCTAGACAAGGTTTTATGATGTAACCGAGAAGTAAACTGTTTCACTCGAGTTTTCATGTGTGTGTGTGTGTGTGTGTGGTGTGTGTGTGTGTGTGTGTGTGTGATGTATGGTGTGCCTGTCCTGGTGCTTGAACTGTCCCAGAACCATCCCTGAGTTTTTTTTGTCCAAGGCTAGTGCTCTGCCACTTGAGTCATAACTCTACTTCTGGCTTTTTAAGTAGTTAATTAGAATAAGAGTGTAATTGCGAGTCTCAGATCTCAACCACTTGAGTAGCTAGGATTACAGGCATGAGCCACTGGTGCCTGGCTGTCCTCCCCCCCCCACATCCTCCCTTGCCCCCCACTAGACTTTGAACTCAGGGTCTTACATTTACTAGGCAGGCCCTTTGCTGCTTGGGTCACATGTCCAGCCCAATTCTGCATTTTTGATGGGAGATAGACTCAGAAAATTACATCTGCTAAAATTTTCCACTTGCGATTTTTATATGTTGTAAATTTTCACTTGTTTTCTATTTCATCAGAGAAAATAAAAACGTAGTTCGTGAAGATTCAGTAATATTTGAATAACAAGTCAGTTCGTGAAGATTCAGTAATATTTGAATAACAAGTCAGTTCTAAACCTTACATACATTTTGTAGTGTGCTTCTTATAAAATCATTTCTATTCTACCATGTCTTGCATGTTAAACTTCCAGTTTTATACTTCTGAAACCTTGGTATTGAGCAGATCCTAAGGCTACAGAGAAACCTCTACTACCTAAAGAACTTGAGAAATTGGGAGGGAGGGGGGAGGCTGGGAAGGGATGTGAAGGGTAAACAAAGGAGGAGGCTGCAGTTCTTGGTAAGAAATGTACGCATTATCCTGCCCATGTAATTGTAACCCCTCTGTACAGTATGTTCACAAATAAAACAAAATTAAATTAAAAAAAAAGAACTTGAGAAATAAGTCATATTAAGGGACTAAGGTTTTATTTCTGTTTTTGTAGTGCTAGAGAGCAAACCTAGTGCCTTGCACATGCAAGGCAAGCATTCTACCATTGAGTTACACAGCTCAGTGAGTATGTTTGTAACCCAGGGACCAAGTTTAAACAGCTATGAGCTCACTTATTAAAACCCAGAAATAGTTTTAATTTGATTTTGAAAATTCAAAAGAACTTTCAATGTGAAAATAAATAAGTGAATATAATTTAACTCTTTTCCTCACAATTGGACCTTTATTTGGTGAAGATTAAGGTACAGATCAGTTTGTGCTTCAGATATTTTGGTGTATTGCCTATATAAGATGTAAAAATGGAATATGTGGAATATAGGACAGACCTGATCATTAGCAGCTGCTTTCCTTAAAAGTTGGTTTATTTTTCTCCTTCATTGCCTCTTTCTTGTGTATGTTGGAACCAGAGCTTGTACTGAGGACCTTTTGTTTCTTGCACAGCTTTTTCATTCACAGATGTGCTACCACTTGAGCCACACTTCCAATTCAAAATTTTGCTATTTCAATAGAGATAACAGCCTTCAGATCTCAGCCTCCTAAATAGCTAGTATATAGGTGTGAGCCTCTGGCACCTAATTTCTCTGCCTCTTTTTCACTGACTGAGAGTAATTTGGGAAGAGGAAACAATTCAAGCCTGAGTGGCAGTCCAAGATACCATGTGTGTTAAACATAATGAGACTAGTTTATTTTTTTATGTTTCTGGCTAATCAGCCAGGTGAAAACTTGTGAAGAAAGAATTCTGGTATTGACTGGTATTTACCCTTTTTTTTTTTTTTGGGTCCGGTCGTGAGGCCTGAACTCTAGGCCTGGTCACTGTCCCTCAGCTCTTCAGCTCAAGGCTAGTGCTCTACCACTTGAGCCACAGCGCCACTTCCGGCTTTTTTCTTTTTGCTTTTGTGGTGCTGAGGAATCGAACCCAGGGCCTCAGGCATGCAAGGCAAGTGCTCTACCACTGAGCCACCTTCCCAGCCCCATAGAGTTACTGTAATTTTAACTCATCTATATCTTAAATTAATTCTGTAGTGGAAATTATTTTGGATAACAGTTGTTTATTTTCCCATAAGGTTTAATATACATCTTACACATTTAGTTTCATATTCTCATTTGAATTAACATTAGATAAAATTGCAACAAAACAAATCTGATATTAATCTTGAGTCTTTGATATTTGCTTTCTTGTTAACAGAAATGGATGATGAAGACTGTGAAAGAAGGAGAATGGAGTGCTTAGATGAAATGTCCAATCTTGAAAAACAGTTTACCGATCTGAAAGATCAGTAAGTAGTGACTTCAGAAAGTCCTTGCCATTGAGTCTCAGTTGCGTCACATGTACACTAGCACAATACCAATAACATTTTCTTTCAACTGTTTTCCTTTTTGTATTTTATGGGATAGGCTGTTTTGATTTAAGAGATGTTTCACCTTTTTTTTTTTTTAACCTGCCAAGAGACCCCATTAACTAAACAGAGTTTTGAGGCAGATCTTATTTTTGGGGAGATAGGTAAGGGAAGGTCTACTATAAGATTTGTTATGTAGGTATTGGTGATTAAAGTATTTTCCATGAATTTCTGAACCCTTGGTTCTTTGGTAAATAATTGGCTAAAGATAGCATTTTTAAAATTTGAAGATAAAATGGTTTGTCCCAAATATTCTTTTTTTTTTTGGTTGTAGAGCTTGAACTCTGGGCCTGGGCGCTTGTCCCTGAGCTCTTCAGCTCAAGGCTAGAGCTTTATCACTTGAGCCACTGCGCCACTTCCAATTTCCCAAATATTCTATGTCTGATGAATTGGTTTTGTTTTTGTCCTACTCTGCATAGTATGACTGTTACATATTTATATAGCTTTGAAATATATCTTATAAATTTTCTTTTTCTTCAGATTTCTATCACCATGGCCAGGCTTGGTAGTTCACTCTCCCAGTATTTGGGTGGCTGAGGTAGGACAATTGTGAGTTTAAAGCCAGCTTAAGCCATAAGCCACCTAGTGAGATCATGTCTCAAAAGAAAAAAAAATTACATTTAAAATTTTAAACTGTTAAGTTGTTATAAAAATAAGCCTTATTTCCATTTTACCTATGAAAAAATTACATTCAGCAAGGTTAATTAATTCCCATAGTTTATTAAAAAGTGCTAAATAAAGCCAGGTTTTTTGCCTCTTGGTGTTTCTGTGTTCATTCTACTAAAAGTCTATTAACTTTGGAGGAAAGTTGGTGGACCAGAAAGAGCAGGGGCTCTCATTCCAGACTTTTGACTGGTTTAATGATGATAATAAAGGGCTGCGGTATAACTCAATGGTAGAATCCTTGCTTAGCCTGTGCAAAGCCCTGGGTTCAATCCTAGTTCCACAAATGAATGAATGCATGAGTGAATAATTGAGTGAAAAAACAGGTAACAGTAGTATTCTTATTATCTACTGTGAAGATTGAGGAGTAGTGTGAAAAATTTTTAGCCATTTGCTTGGTATGATATATATCTATTAGATACTGTTACCTTCTTCTGTTCTCACTTTTTCTCAGTTTTGAGGTTTGACCCATGGGCTTTGTGCATGCTAGGCAAGCACTGAGCTGTAGCCTTACCACTTTTTATTTTGAGATAGGGTCTTGATAAGTTGCCCAGGTTACCTTTAAACTTTGACCCTTCTGACACAGCCTCTTTAGTAGCTGGGATTACAGGATTGCATTACCACATCCAGCTTTCCCTTTATGTGATTTCATTGTTATGAGGCATTGAAACTTATGAACAAATAAATATCTGGATGGTATGGCAGCTGCTTTCTCCTTCTTTGGGTTGCTAGAGCAGCTTGTCAGTTTTTTTTTTTTTTTAAAGTTGTGGCTCATGCCTATAATCCTAGCTACTCAGAATGCTGAGATCTGAGAATCTTGGTTTCCATGGAGCCAGCCCAGGAAGACAAATCTGGAGACTCAGATCTCCAGTTACCAGTAGAAAGCTGGAAGTAGGGAATGTTGCTCAAGTGGTACTCTACAGGTAGAGTACCTGCTGAGCAAGAACATGAGACCTTGAATTCAGGCCCCAATACAGTCCTTTTGCATTACTTAAGTCTTTCCAAGGCATGAGCTGGCACAACACTGGCATGAGCTGGCCCAACATTAGCTGGCACTTCTGTCAGATGCAGCTAATCTAATGTCCAGATGTTGTGCTTAACATGGTGGCAGCAGCACATTGCACCTACTCTCACCTGCTCATTTGTGCATCTGGAGGAGTACAGGGGAGAGAAGGAAGGAAGGAAACAGTGTAGGAAAGCCAGGAGGAGCTCAGCTGAAGTTGTGCAGGGCACAACCCAAGCATTGTTGATGGCGGATCTTCACCCTGGGGTCTTCATCAGCTTTGAGCCGGTCCACCACCATGCTGATGATATAGCTGAATACACTGTGAGGCTGGATTTTCTGGAATGAAAGACTAGACAACTTCTCCCTGGAATTGCTGTCCTTCCCATGTTGTATCACCATGAACAGTGTCTAGTTTTTTCATTATCAAATGTTGAATAAAGCTGGATCTAGTTTGCTCCCAGATGGGCTTGTGGGTCTTTAGGGAATGTCATCCAGCTTCACTGAGACTCAAGGGGCTGGAATGATGGCTTCAGTGGTGGTAAAAATTCAGGGCAGTCTGCTTTTTTTCCTTTCTTTCAGATGCCAGAACTCTTACATGAGAATGGACCTCCCTGGTGTTTTTTTGGGGGGGGAGTGGGGGTGGGTAGGATCTCTCTTTCTATGTAGTTCAGACTGACATTCAGCAACCTCTTGATTCTGCTTCCTAAGTATAGGGATTACATATACCATCATACCCAGCTAATGCTCTTGTAATTTGAGAGAATGTAGAGTAGGTAAAGATATAAGCCACAGTGTCTTATAGGAGAGCTTTCATGTTGCAACTTTTTGGTATGGTCATAGGATGTGTACTAGGGGTTGTAATCCAAAGAGAAATTTATAAGAATATTGATACTTAAGTTATTCAGATCCTAGCCTTTTATTTTTATGGATTCTCCATAATATTGCTGCTTATTAAGACATTAAAACTGTTTACTATATTTGGCATTAGCAGACTAACATAGATTTGTTTACTATAATAATTTTGTTGTTCTATTGGTGAATGTGTAGATATATGTAGGTATTGTTCCATGGTAGTTAACAAATTAATCTAAGTAATCTAAAATAATCCAAAGTTTAAAATTTTGGCTTTGAAATACACACTTTTGTTTATTCTAAAGATTTACATTACTGCCGTCATGCTTTCTAGGGCACACTTGTAATCCCAACAATCAGGAGACTGAAGCAGGAGAATCTTGAGTTCAAAGCCAGCTTGATGTACAGAGCAGGACCTGTCTCAAAAGAAAACAAAAGATTTACATTACTAATTTAGAATTAAAATTAGTTTGAATCCCTAAAGATTATATTATTTGGGCAAAATGGAGTTCATCCTAGGGAATGATCATTCTGGAAAATTGGAAGCAAATTTGTGTTTTTATATTTTAGCACAAGTAATCCACGTACAATTCTTATTAAATGAATTAAGATCCACTCATTTAACTTTAAAGTATATTTTATAGTTATCTAAGAAAAGCTCTAGTATAATGTAATATATTACATAGGAAAACTTTGCAGCTAATGTTATAGGTCTAATATTGTTCATTCTAGGACAGGAAGTTGCCTTGGTTTTGGCTCTCTATGGCTAACTATTGCCACCAGTTGTTTCTTCTAACAGCCTCACCCATCTTTAAAATTAAGAGTACACTGTGAGCATGAGCATAATTTAATAAGGTTTTTAAGGAATTCCTCCTTCCTTCCCTCCCTTCCTCACTTTCTTCTCCTAGTTCTCCTTTTCTCTCCCTCCATCCCTCTTTCCCTCCCTCTCTCTTCCTTTCTCCCTCTTCTCCCTCTCCCTCTTTCTCTCTCTCCCTCTCTCTCAATCTCTCTCTCTCCCCCCCTCTTTTTTTTCTCTCTCTCACCTTCCCTTTGCTTTTTTGGTGGTATTGGGATTTGAACTAAGGGTCTTGCATTTGTTGGCAAATGCTCCATTTCAGCCATGCCTCCAATCCTTTTTCACTTTAGTTATTTTTGGATGGTATCTTAAGTTATGTTCTGTACTGCTTCCCTATAGCTAGACTGAAAGGTGCATGCCATCATTCCTGGCTTTTATTGGTTGAGATGGACGCTTGCTAATTTTCTGCAGTCCTCCTCCTAGTTGCTTTCCAAGTAGTTCTTGGTGTGGGCTATTCACATGCTGCCTAGTTGGCTTATTTTTGTATTACTGTACTAGGTACTTTTTTTGTTGTTTATTTTGTTTTTTTTTGGGTCCGGTCGTAGGTCCTGAACTCTGGGCCTGGGCGCTGTCCCTCAGCTCTTCAGCTCAAGGCTAGTGCTCTACTACTTGAGCCACAGCGCCACTTCCGGCTTTTTTCTTTTTGCTTATGTGGTGCTGAGGAATCGAACCCAGGGCCTCAGGCATGCAAGGCAAGCGCTCTACCACTGAGCCACCTTCCCAGCCCCTATTTTGTTTTTTATCAGTTGTGGGGCTTGAACTCTGGGCCTGTGCGCTGTCCCTCAGCTCTTCAGCTCAAGGCTAACGCTCTACCACTTGAGCCACAGTGCCACTTCCTGTACTAGGTACTTTTGTAAGATGTCTTAAATCCTTTTTAGTGGAGGTAGGAAGTCATTGTAATAATTGTATTCATAATCAAATTATCCTGCTTCTCCTGTTCTAGCACCACAGGGTACTATAGCATTCCCTTCATAAGGCAGAAAACTCACATTGCAGTTTCTGTAGTGTGGAAGGTAAGTTCTTCCACCTCATTCAAAAGGTAAAAGGATTGGTACCATCTAGGTTTTTGTCATTTTAATATTCAACATACAACAAACATTCATTGAGCTTCTACTTTGTAAATAATGTTGTGGTTGCTTCTGAAGAACTCATGTTCTTTGCCATTGATGGTTTTATACTTCATTTATAAAATTGTACTTATTTTGAGGGATATTTTCTACCTTCTAACTTCCTAAAAGGTTTTTTAATAGAATAATAATTCTTTTATCCTCTTCATTGAAGATGCTAGATCACAAATTCAAGAAACCCTGTCAGTATTTTGTATACGTTTGGTTTTCTTCGGATGTTCTTCCTTGGTGTCGTAATTTTAGTATTTTATCTAAAATTGAGTATTAACTTCAAAAATACGTTACCATTTTATATTTTTCTGACTTTATACATTTATCATTGTGTCTTGCATTTAGAAAGTTTTAACCCAGGCATGATAATGCATTTATTTTGACAACAAATTCTTTAAGTTATATTGTGGTTGCTGCCAAGAGGCCATTAAAATAAAAAAGGAATATTTGTTTCATTAACATTTAAATTTAACTTTGCTCCTCAAGAATCATATTATAAAAATTGCTTATGCTAATTATATTGATTAATTACAAACAGTATTGGTTGTGTCACATGTACTAGGTTATATTTTCAAGATAGAAGAGCAGAATTTGATATGAAACATAAGAACCATCAAGTTGGCCAAAGCTAACTGCTAGTTACACCAACACCTGCAGCATAACCAATGGTTTCTTTGGGAAATTACTACATGCTGTCCTTCTGACATACCATGACATATTTGTTTTCGCCTGTGATAAAAGTAGCAAATGGAAAAAATAATTACAAAATGATCTTAAATCGGGGTAGGGGACTGACTGAAGTGGAAGAGCACCTACCTACCTAGCAAGTACCAGGCCTTGAGTCCAGAACTCTGGTACTACTACAAACAGCAACAAAATAATTTAAATTGTTAAATTGGTAATCTGCTTTAGTTTTTTTTTTTATCACATCTTTAGAAATGTCACAAAATCTGGATTAGTAGTATCTTTCATGAAGGATGACAATCTGGTTTTATAGAATTACTGCCAAAAATAAATACTGAATTATCTCATATACTTAGTTTTTGATAATCAAACTATTGTTTCAGCTGACAAAGATTTTTTTTTTTGAGGTGTTGGGGACTGAATCCAGGGCTCTGCCCATGCCAGGAAAATGTTCTATTACTGACATACATTTCTACCCTCAGATAAAAGTATTTGTAAGCCAGGTGCCTGTGGCTCACAGGTGTAGCCCTAGCTACTTAGGAGGCAGAGATCTGAGGATCTCAGTTTGAAAGCTGGCCCAGTAGAAAAGTCCCTGAGAGACTCTTATCTCCAATTAACCACTCAAAAATCAGGAAATGGAGCTGTGGCTCAATTGGTAGAGTGCTAGCCTTCAGCACAAAGAGACTCAGAGGTAGTGCCCAGGCCCTGAGTTCGAGCCCCATAACCCACAAAAAAAGTATTAGAAAGTTCCCCCATTCCCCATTTTTCGTTTCTTCATCCATTGAGTAACTCATTTGTTAACGTTTTCTTCATTTGTAGTTGAGATGAATTGGGTATGTGAGATCATGGGGCCGTACCCATTGTCTTTTTTTTCCCTTCCTTTTTGCAGTATTGGGGTTTAAACTCAGGGCCTTATACTTGCTAAGCAGGCACTTTTCCACTTGAGCTACTCTGCCAACCCCCCTTTTTTTTTAATGTTGGTTGTTTTTTGAGATAGGATCTTGTTTAAGATTGGTATAGACTTGTGAGACTCTGATCCTCCTGTTTGTGCCTTTCTGAGTAACTGGGATGACAGGAATGAACCCCCATCTGTAGTCATTATTCCAAGATGGAGTGTTGTGAACTGGCCTATTTTGTTTTGCTGGATCTGTCCTGGAGAAGTGATCTCTTGATTTCTGTCTCCCAAGTAGATACAGGGCTTGAGCCACTCCTTGACCACTATCCACTGCTTTTATCTTCTCTGCTCTACTTCCTTTTCATTCTGTTTTAAAATTAAGCAGGCTTTGGGTGTGGTGGCATACATCCAGTACTCAGGAGGCTAAGGCAGGAGGATTGTAACTTTGAGACCATCTTGGACTAATGAGACCCATCTCAATATGTACCTCGCCTTACCCCCAATTAAATTGGCTAAGTATTGTATTGACTCCATTTTAGGAAAGACAGAAAAAAACCAGGAAATTATTTATTTTTACAACTAGTTAAAAAATGCTTTCCTATGTAGGTGTTGGGCTCAAGCCTGTAATACTGGCTAATTGGAAAGTAGAGATTGATGAATCATGGTTAGAGGCAAAGCTGGTGGGGGGAAATTCATGAGACTGTATTTCATCCAGTGTCTGGGTGTGGTGGTATACCAATGTCATTGTAGCTACATATCAAGGCATAAAAAGGAGAATCATAGTCCAGGCTGACCTGAACATTTAGGGTGATCCTCTTTCAAAAATAACTAACCCATGCCCAGTTGGGCTGTGGTGACTCATGTCTATAATCCTAGCTGCACAAAGCTAAAACCTAGAGGACTGGAGTTTGAAGCCAGCCTGGAAGAAAAAGTTCAAAGGGCTCCATCTCCTGTTAACCAGCAAGATGCCAGACTAGAAGCATGACTCTAATGATAGAGTGCCAGCTATAAGCAAGTAATCCCAGCACGTGAAAGGCCTGAATTCAAGCCTGTGTACCAGCAAAAGCAAAACAAAACAACAAAAGAACAGCTCCACACAAAAAGGGCTGGCAGAGTAGCTGAAGTGGTAGAGCATCTGCCTAGCAAGTGTGAGACCCTCAGTTCAGAGTTCCAGTATCTCTAAAAGGAAAACTTTTTTTTTAAACTCCGAATTTAAATGATTTTCAGTCTTAGAAATGATTTATTGTTTTTCAATCCAAACAAAAACAAAACTTGAGAGTGCCAGAGTAAATGTGTGTATTTATTGAGATGGTGTCCTGGCAATAATGCTAGGCTGCTCTTGAACTTCTAGACTCAGGTTATCTTTGCTTCACCCTTTCCAGTACCTGGATCTGTAGGCATGAGCCACTGGTCCTGGCTTTCAGTAGTTTTTTTGTATTGTATTTTTTAATTAACAATTGGTATTTTTTATTAACTATTATAAGAATATTGATGAAAAAATCATAGACTAGTATCCATCCTATGATGATTTGTATAAAGACAAATTTTTTCACTTGTGATCAGAGCAAAAATACATTTGATAGTTTATTAGAATGTCAATGATATTAGGAAAAATAATGTATACAAATGGAAAATTGTTAGCCATTGTTGGGATTTTTAAATTAATGTCTTAATTTCTGCTTTATTAAGACTTTATAAAGAACGATTAAGTCAGGTGGATGCAAAACTACAAGAAGTCATAGCTGGAAAAGCACCAGAATATTTGGAACCACTGGCAACTTTACAAGAAAATATGCAAATTCGTACAAAGGTAGCAGGTAGGAAAGTGAAACATTTTTTTAAAAATACAGTGTATTCTACGCTCTCCCTCTAAAGGTGTTTGTTAAGTTTGTTGTTGATGGTACTACAGATATATTTGCATTGATGGATTATAGATATGCTTATATATTTACATTGCATTACAAGCATGTTGATAATTCATTGCGGTCAGCCTAGAGATTTATTAAAATCTCTTGCTTTTTCTCTGCTGCTGTGAGAGATTTACAAAAGAAAAACCAAACCAAAAAAAAAAAAAAACAACAGCTGAAAGTGTGGCTCAGTGGTAGAGTATCTGCTTAGCAAACTTGAGGCCCTAACTTCAAGTTCCAGTATTCTCAAATAATGAATTCTCCAGTGGCTCACAATGTTATTTAAAAAATGTAAACAATTAGAAACTGGTATTTTCATTAAGAGATAATGATACTATCATAGATAATTCCCTATTAGATAATTTAAAGCTTAAGTATTTTTGGCATTTTTCATCTATGAGTGATAGGATTTTTATTTTATCTCATTAAAAATTTTTTTTTTTTTGGTACTGGTTCTGGTGTTTGAATTCAGGGCTTGGGTGCTGTCTCTAAGCTTTTTTGCTCAAGGTTAGTGCTCTAACTTTTTGAGCTGCAACTTCTCTTTTGGCTTTTTGGTGGTTAGATATCAGAGTTTCATGGACATTCCTGCCCAGGCTGGCTTCAAATGAGGATCTCAGAGGATCTCAGCCTTTAGTAGGATTACAGGTATCACTGGTACCTGGGTGCCTGGCTCATTTTATTTTTTTGTCCGTCGTGGGGATTGAACTCTGGGCCTGAGTGCTGTCCCTCAGCTCTTCAGCTCAAGGCTAGAGCTCTACCACTTGAGCTGCAGCACCACTTCTGGTTTTCTGGTGGTTTATTGGAGATAAGAGTTTCATGGACTTTCCTGCCCGGGCTGGCTTTGAACTGCAATCCTCAGATCTCAGCCTCCTGAGTAGCTAGGATTACAGGCGTGAGCCACCAGCGCCCCACTCATTTATTTTTTAAGAGATGATTTTTATGTTGCCTAGGCTGATCCTGAATTCCTGGGCTCAAGCTGTCCTCCTTTCTCATCCCCTTGAGTACTGGAATTTTTGTTTTTTTTTTAAATACTTATAAAACAGGGTATTAATTACAGAACAGGAATTTAATCTCTAACCAGGTAATTTAATGATTCTTTTTTGTTTTAGTTTGGTAAATTTAGTTACTTATTTGTGGAGAATAAGTGAAGATGTACTGTATTTGAATGGTTAAGCTTAGTCTTCTGTCTGTAACTGAATTCCAGTTTCAGTATGTCCTAGCATTTATCAGGGGATATATCCACTTGATGGTAACTTTGGATTTCTTTTAATAGTTGAACTACTAATATCTGAACTTTAATAATGGAAATGCTGATTATTTTTCTTTTTTGGAACATGAATTGATCTTCATGTACCTGTGAAGTAAGACATTGTTGATAATAAGTTCTTTACTAAATTTACCTTAAATTAAATTTTCTTCTTCTTCTTCTTTTTTTTTTTTTGGTAGTACTGGGTCTGAACTCAGATCACTCTTCCACTTGAGCCACACCATCAACCCTTTTAGCTTTTATTTTTTGAATAAGATCTTACATATATTTATGGTCAGGCCAACCTGGACATTGATTCTCCTATTTACACTTCCCTTGTAGCTGAGGTGGCAGACTACTGTGTCTAGCTTTCATTATTTAAATAAGGTCCCTTGACATTTTTGCCTGCGCTGGTCTTGAACTGTGATCCTTCCAACCTCTGCCTCCTGAGTAGCTGTTGCTCACATCTGTTTTATTCTTAAGTTCTTAATAAATGTAGATGTGATAATTAACTTGGTGTCTTTGAAAATGGATTTGGCTTATCCTTAAAGTAAAAAAAAAAGCCCTACATTTCTTTGATGCTTTTAGACAAAATAGATGATGAACAAATATTATTCAAGTGAATTATTTACTTTATGCTTTGGCCTCCATTTTTATATTGTAGATGGTATGTGTTGCTGATGTCATAGTCCTGGGTATGTGTCCCCTACTTTTACTTCACAGAATTGACTACATTTCTAAAGACATCTGTGGCATGTATGCCTAGAGTTTTCTGCTTGCTGATTGGTGGTGACATATTGGTGTAGCCATGTTGCCTATTTTATACTATTGTCTTGATATCTCTAAATTAAATATTGTTGGACATTTGTCCTATAGGTTATGCCCTGTTGGAAGTACTATGAACATTGCACATTTTGTTATATCACTGTATACATTTGATCTCTTAATATTTGGAGTCAAAATAAGAAATATTTAAACATAGTGGTTTTGATGGCATATGCTATCAAACTCTCCTTTGAGTTTATATGACTAAAGAAACTAGAGTTTATTTTCTGTTTGCATTATAAGAAACCTGAGTTGTCATTTTTACTGGAAAAGCATTTTTTTTTTCATTTTGATCATTCTCTATCAAATTCAGGAGTAATTTTTTGAAGAATGAAGTAAAAACAAAAATTAGCAGTGTAGTTCGTTTCTTTGTAGGTCTTAAACTCTTAGTTTCTAGTCTTTGATATGTATTTTAATTGAAACATTTTTGTTTTTGTTTTTAAAGATAAAGTTACCATTTGCCAATTTCTTATTGATTCCTCTCATAAAATATGAAGACAGAGTTCCTGTAGAGAAGTGATAATGAACTCTTCATTGCTAACATAATCAGAGTAATTGTGTTTGGTTGCAGGAATCTATAGAGAGCTCTGCTTAGAATCTGTAAAGAACAAGTATGAATGTGAAATTCAAGCTTCTCGCCAGCATTGTGAGGTAATTACACCTCTTCAAGCCTTTTCTGAGTTAGTAGTTTAAAAAGCAAATAAATAAATAAAAAACAATTACATAGTACTTCAGTCATCACTTGTGTGTGAGGTTTTTTTTTTTTTTTTAATGTGGTTGTTCTGGAAGTATTGAAATAGGATACAAAGGAGCATAGAAAAGAAATGTGATAATTTTAGAAGTTTTGCAACTTTCTTTAGAAAGACTTTGTAAAGATAAGGTTATCTGGAATCTCTGAAATGATTAGTATAATTAGTATGATGTGGAAGTTTAGACTAAAACTGTGGTTAGAATATTGGGCTGTAGAATTAATTTCTGTCTAGACCTTCTTCCACTTTTTAGGGCAGCATTCTTTATAAAAAAATGGTATATTTTTCTATGTTTATTTGAATAGTAGCCGAGTGTATCCTAGAACTTAGCCAGGTTAAACTTTGAATCATCTTTTCTCTCTCAGCCAAGTGCTAAGATTATAGGCTTGCTACCACATGTTGCTCACCAATTACTATTTAGATAAATTTTTTTTTGTGAGTACTTGGATTTTCTTTACTAAGAAGGGTATATCTTCCATCTCTAGGTTGGTTTTTCCTTCATTGACTTTGTAAATATTTTTGCCCTGGAAATCAGATCTTTTCACTCTTTTCACTTATTGTATGTGCTTTTTATATCTTACTTATTTTAAGTAAAAAGATACATTTTTCCATTAAGACTTCAAAGTTTACTTATAACATTTGGACTTCTAAACTACCTTTAGTTAATTTTTGTGTGTAGTATAAAATATGGTTCTTACTTTATTTTGTTTTGCATATGGATAGTTGATCTCAATACATTGGTTTCTAACAAATCATCAATTCTATTACTTTATCAAATGTTTGAGTGTATGCTGATTTCTTTCTTTCTTTTTTTTTTTTTTTGGTCGGTTGGGGGGCTTGAACTCTGGGCCTGGGCGCTGTCCCTCAGCTCTTCAGCTCAAGGCTAGCGCTCTACCACTTGAGCTACAGCGCCACTTCCGGTTTTTCTGGTGGTTTATTGGTGATAGGAGTCTCACAGTCCTCTTGCCCGGGCTGGCTTTGAACCGCGATCCTCAGATCTCAGCCTTCTGAGTAGCTAGGATTACAGGCATGAGCCACCAGCGCCCGGCTTTGATTTATTTCTAATATACTGATTTATTCATTAGTTTTTAGTCTAATACATATTGATAACTAAACTTGATAGTCTTACATTGTTCTTTTCCTTTGCACATTTTTTTTTTTTGTTGGTTGTGGAACTTGAACTCAGGGCCTGGGCACTGTCCCTGAGCTTTTTCTTTTTTTTTTTTTGGGTCCGGTCGTGGGGCCTGAACTCTGGGACTGGGTGCTGTCCCTCAGCTCTTCAGCTCAAGGCTAGCGCTCTACCACTTGAGCCACAGCGCCACTTCTGGCT